GGACAACAAACGAGGGGCTATATATATCGTCAAATAGAACTGCCCGGTAAACCGTAGGCAGAGAGGGAGAAGAGGACAACAAATGAGGGGCTGTGACAAACTGTTTCGTCGGAGTTTCACCGACTCATATATATATATATCGTCACAAATAGAACTGCCCGGTAAACCGTAGGCAGAGAGAGAGAAGAGGACAACAAACGAGGGGCTGTGACAAACTGTTTCGTCGGAGTTTCACCGACTCATATATATATATATATATCTTCAAATAGAACTGCCCGGTAAACCGTAGGCAGAGAGGGAGAAGAGGACAACAAACGAGAGCGCAAATGCGAAAAAAAGAGAAAAGGAGAAAAGAAAACCAGGGAATATTAATTTCAATTTTTTATCTTCTTCCTTATAACTCCCCCTGTTCAGAACCTCTTGCATACAAGGCCGCCCACGTGGATGTAGGTTGAGCGGCGGCTGCCCCCACCCCCGTGTGTCATATCGACCCACTTGCACACAGCCCGAAGGCAAAGAGGCAAAGAAAGGAGGAAGGGAACAGCCAAATAATACGGAACAGGGGGCAACAAAAAAAATCCCAGATGACACGTCCCACATGCAAGCACCGCCCCGCAACTCACAGGCCAAACGACGGGACGAGACCAACCAGGATATCAAAACATTCTTATCTACAAAGAAAATAAAGAAAGGCTCCTGCGCCCTTGATCACAGTGTGACAACTTAAAAAAAGACAATCCCAGATGACGATTCCCACATACAAGCACCGCCCCGCGCTCAAAGGGCCGAACAACGGGAAACAACCAACCAGGATGCCCAATAACAAAATCGGCAAACAAAATTAAAACAACCCCTAAATGACAATCCTAGATGACAAGTCCCACATGCAAGCACCGCCCCCGCCAACTACAAGCCAAACGACGGGACAAGACCAACCAGGATGTCAAAACACACTCGCCTGCAGAACGATAACCAGATGACCAATCCCACATGAAGCACCGCCATCCCTCCCTAAGATAGACCAAATAACGGGACAAGGCCAACCGGAATCGAAGCAAACAAGATTCTCATTCACAAAACAAAAAGTCTACCATATCCATAGTAAAAAGACGGAACCATTCAGTAGGTCTGCAAAACGCAACATCCCAACAATAGGGAAGATTAAACAGAAGAAGGAGGAAGAAGAAGAAAAAATACAACAGATTAAAAAATATTCTCTTCCATAAAGAATATATATATTATATAATTTAAATTATTGTTTTAAATTTGGTAAAGAATTTCGATGTGACCCTGAGGCAAAAGTTGTTCAGTTTATTTTTCTGCATAACATAGTTTTTTTCCGGGTTTTTTTTTTTTTGGGGGGGGGGGGGGGGG